TTGGGTGTTATAGTTAGAGGGAGATCTTGCATGTGTTATAGAGTCCTCAATGTCAACTATATTTGGTATACTTGTAGATATATACCACCTTGTATCAGTACAGTGTGACTGGGGTGTTACTATGGTGTGACTAGGGTGTTATAGTAAGAAGGAGATCTCACATGTATAATAAAGTCCTCAATGTGAATTATATTTGGTATACTTGTAGATATATACTGTCATGTATCAATACAGTGTTATTTGGGTGTTACTATGGTATGAGTAGGTTGCTTTAGTAAGAGAGATATCTCGCATGTGTTATAGAGTCGGTCCTCAATGTACATTACATTTGGTTTTACTTATATATATATACTTTGATGTATACTACAACGGGTGGCACATGTGGAGTAGGATCTGCTTACCCTTCCGGAGCACCTGAGATCACCCCCAGTTTTTGTTGGGGTTCGTGTTGCTTAGTCTTTTGTTTTCTATGTTGTGTCATCTGTGCTATTATTTGTCTGTTTGTCTTTTTATTTTTGGCCATGGCGTTGTCAGTTTGTTTTCGATCTATGAGTTTGACTGTCCTTCTGGTATCTTTCGTCCCTCTTTTGTATCAATACAGTGTGACTGGGGTGTAATGGTGGTGTAATCCAGTGTCAATATAAATTATATCTAGTACCTGTGTTTTTTTCAGATGTGATTATATAGATATTGAACTTTGGAAATCACTTTTTTGTAAGCTCTTGAAATTCAATCACAATTTAAAGATCAGGATTATGTGAAGGATTTGTATATATGTTTATTCTTATTTTTTTTTAAGTCATTTGCCTAGTCAAAATGATTTTAAAAAAATTTGATACATTTGTATATTATGAATTATAAATTTACTTATTTATGGCTTGATTAAGTATAAGTAATGTTCTTCAGTATTAAATTAAATTTGCCATACCTTTTTTGTTAATTTATTTATATAACATTGAATTATCAATATCAACCAGAAGTAAGTGCATGTAATATCGAAGCTGAAGAAGAGTGTAAATATGAGCTTGAAAAATCAAAGAGGCATACAACAACAAAAATATACATTGCAAGTACAGCAAAGTAGCATGTTTAAAATATATCATGTTCTACAAAACGTGCTGCTTGTGTAGCAAATCTAGTGGCAAAACTAATATAGCAGAATTAGCTCGTGCTTATCTTGTCCCTAAATGCAGATTTACTGTAGTTTCTTGGCAACTGGTCTTTGCTCTATGTTGTAAAAATTTTATCAGTTATAATGTTATTACTAGAAGAATTATTCTCAAAAACTATGTGTTAAGAGACAATCTATCCACCAAAAAAACTAAATAGAACCTTTAAAAAATGGTTAAGCTAAAGTTGTTGGTTTGAACCAGGTTTTATAACAAGCTTAGCCTCCCTATTCTAAGACATTTGCATAAAATTCCTTCATATTGACAACATGGTGTGAGCAGCACAACACACTTAATAGGTAAAAATGAGAATAGTCAATATTGTTACTGATATCAAATACTATGCAAATAAAAAAATGTCAACAAACCAAACAGAACAACATATGCAAACACTTCTGATAAAGTACAAAGTAAAAAAACATTTAAAGATGTAAGAATAACCACAACACTGTAACATAGTGGCGGAATATTTAAATACCAAGATATGCCTAAAATACACCAAAAACTTAGTGATAGTTGGCAATGACAAATAAAATGAAAGCTGTTAAAGTAATAAAATTGATACAAAACATAAGTCTCTGGAGTCTATAATCCAAGACCATATTTGTGAAGGTGATATTAACAATGAATATTTATTTACCTTCTGATAAACTTTTGAGAAGAAGGAAGAGAAGTTCTTTGAAAAAACCATGGTTCATTAATATCCTTTGCGTTCAGACAAGAGTGTTGTTTTACAAAGTCATTAAAGTTTGTAATATATCTAGTATTGAGATGGCCACTCAAGTCAAATTCAGGTTAAAATGAGACAGAGGAAGCCCTGTTTGTTGTTTCTTCAGTTTCTTGTTCTGGACTACATATCAAAAAATCCAATCAGATAAGTTTGGATTGTATTTTGAGAGAACATCGTCAGTATGTGAAATTAAACATTTTAAATGGTCTTAACTTTTTTACCTTCATGTTTTTAATGATTAAGTGTCAAAAGAAACTCTGATTCACATGAAAATAAAAACAAGTGGATAAGGAGAAGCACAGTGCTTTCTCATTAGCCAATTGTGACAATCTGTAAGTTGTAAACTTACATTGATTTTTGTACATTTAAATTCAACAATTTTTTTAACAAAGTATACTGAATGGTATCCAAATCAGTCAATTTGTAGCATATAGTTTTATGTTTATTCTGGAAAGCAATGTAGATTATATCGCTATGAATTATATCGCTATGAATTATTTTAAATTACAAGTGGTATAGTCGTCTTGTGATTTTTTTTTAGGGAAAGAGTAGGATTTTAATTAATTAGTTGTAAAAAAAATTGGAGTGGGGAGGGGATCCACCCCTGCCACTAGTACTACAATAGTAATGTAAGATGTGGTATGATTGCCAATGAGACAAAATGAGACAACTCTTCATATAAGTCATAATAAAGTTGTAAATATGAGCAATTATAGGAGACATAGGAAACAGAGGCGGATTCAGAAATTTCTATAAGGGGGGATGGGGGGGGGGAGGGGGGGGGGGGGCATTGACAATCATCAGAGGGCACTCCAGTCATGCTTCAATCATTACTTATTTAATCAACCATTGTTTTCACTTTAGGGGGAACCACCCCTTTTAAAATTCGCCTCTGCTTTCTAATTATTTCTATTATTGGATGTTCATTCTATTTTTTCTAATTTTTTTTCCAAAGATTTATAATGCCTAGTCTAGTGCTAGGCAAAACATAATTTTGACATACAACTGGCTGCGTTTGTAAGATTTAAATTCAAACCGGTAAAACGGCAATAAAACCTACACATAAATTAAGTAATTGCTTTTATATGTTCTTTTATTATTATTGGTATATTTTTTTTACAACATTCATTTTCACGAAGATGTCATACAATACAGTAATTTTATTGTTAATACAATATAGTACCAGTATATAACTTTCGTTCTAATAAGTTAACTTAAGAAAAACCCCTGTTCTATTTAAAGACATTATTTCTATATGTAGACCGTTATAAACAATTATATCGGTGTGGACACGTAAATTTCCGCGCCGGCAGGAGTAGGGTGTTAAAAATTAACTACACGAAAAAATCAGACAGCAATATCATCTGTAAGCAGGTATATAATATACAAGCTTACAGATACAGTCACCGTAACTATCACCGAGCTTTGTGCGCATGCGCAAGAAACGCCTCCCGAATTTCCTATTTTCATTTTTGAAAAATCTTCTATTTGGAGATACAATACAATATTTTTATTTTTCCAAATAAAAGGGCCCATAATTAAAGGGAGATAGATTTGTACGCATTTATTTATTTGTATCGGCGAAAGGACCATTACTGAACATGCTGAAGTGTCTCTCTTTCCAATCTTAAGAGCATACATAGCCTAACGCATAAAACGTTAAAAAAAAACTCGTGAAAGGTATGAAAAATGTAATATTAAAACAAAGAACACATACACCATCTTTGAATGCAAAATAACTCACGTAAAGGGTATTTTGAAAAAAAAATTAACCATGCGTTGCATTTTATGAAAATAAATGATTAAAACAGAAAAATCTGCCCCTCCCATCATTCCATATCAAATGGTTGTCACCTTACTGAAACCCCTCGTAAATAATTCAATCTTATATATATATATAAAAGTTTACTTTTATAAATTTTGACTTGGATGGAGAGTTGTCTCACTGGCACACATACCACATCTTCTTATATCTATATATTATACATATCACCACTGACACCACACTGTAAATATCAATCAAAACCCAATATAAGTTATATGGTTCGCTACTGACCCCCTACAGATCCATAGACTTAGTAAAATCCATAGGGGGTGAGGCCGAAGTCCGAATCTCCTATGATATTTTTTCACTCTCTATGGTCTGAACTGTTTAACGAAATTATCGCACGCGTGACTTTTTCTGCTGCGTTTAGTAGAAAAATAAACAATGAAACACAACAACATTGATAGATGACGTCACAATAGTAGAAGGGACGTCATGAACCCCCTATGAAATTTACTTACCCCCTACGGATCCATATATAGGGGGTCACCACATGACGGCGTTGGACCAATCACAACGTGATAAATTACCCGCGGTGCGATAATATAGATAAAGAAAGGATATGGAGTAAGAGTAGAATTTTTATCAATCTACTTGTATTTAAGCACAGTTTCCTGTGATATCTTGTGGTGGCCACCATGCATGGCCAGAGAACAATTAAATTAATTTAAGACGAGAAGTATAAATCCCTATAAGGATCAATTGAAATAATATTATTCTTAAAACACATTGTTCACCTTGTGTCAAAACAAATCAATTATTTTTTTTACATTATTCTGCTTTAAAGGTTGCATTCTTCACAGTTTTAGGCCATTCTCAAATGTTGAATGTTCTTGATAGTGATACATTTTTATGTCCTGCCTATGATAGTAGAAGGGCATTATTTTTTCTGATCTGTCCTTCTGTCCATTGGTCCTTTATCTAGTTAAAGTAAAGCATGAAATAATACAAAAGGGTCAGTATTATTTGTTAATAAAATCACATAAATTTCATTTTACAAATTAGCAGCTAGCTAGGACATTATCATGAATGTCCATTAATATTGTTGTACACACCTGTTTATGTCATGTTAGTTTATTATTTATTTTTATTGTTTAAATTATTAAATTGTTAGTGTTTGAATGTTTTGTTACAAAGTAGAACTTTTTAGTTGTAAAAGTCTAGTGCTGCATCAATTCAGCTTAGATAATCATGAAAGTATTTTGGAAATATTATACTTAATTCAGTTTGAAAAACCTTGTTTTATCAACCCCTAAAATGGCAGTTTTGTTTTATAACTGTTGTCACCTTTTTAATATTCTGGTTACAATTTTAGAAATCATGATCTGATATTTTTACATTTTATGTTTTTATGTTTTTATGTTTTATCAAATGATATTATCTTAACCATATAGATTTGACTATGCTATTATTGTAATATGAAATGTTGATATAGTTTTCTCATTGCTTTTTTGAATGCTTTTAAATTGAAATCCATTTTGATACTCGGAAGTTAATAACATGATAATATATCGGTGCTGATTAGGGGGAATAATGGTTTACTCTGTCTGTTTCATAAAATTTTTATCACATTTTCCTTGGAACTAGACATCAGAGTGATCTCAAATTTGGTATCACGTTGCATGTAATGTATTTTCACATTCAAATAACCATTAACTCCCTGCTTACAAAATACTGACATATTCTTACATGTAATGACCATGTATAAAAATTTCTTCACATTTTCTCAGGAATAATGAATCAGGGCTATTTGAAATTGGTCATAAGCTTATCTGCATGCTATACACAGTGATGAATTCTGACATCTATTGCTGATCGACTTCATATTACCAAATACTAAAGACGAGTATTTGTGTAGGGCAATAGCTCACAGTTCATCATTCTAATGCTATTCATTTTTATTTTTGGTGAACTGTAAACAAACTAATTTTCCATGTAGAAAAATAACATGAACATTATTTGTAGTGAATATGTCCAGCACTGATGTATTTTTGAATGTATATGTTGACAAAGTAAAATGACTGTGAAATCAAATTGCTATGAAGTTAGCTTGAAATTGTTAGATGCAAAAAAATATCCCTGAAAATAAGTTAATTTAATTTTTCAGAACTTTTGGTCTTCAATGCTCTTCAACTTTGTACTTTATTTTGGCCTTTTTAACTATTTTGACTCAAGCGTCATTGGTGATGATGAGGTTTTTTTTTTAACGACCTTGACTAACTATGAGGGTCTTGCTAGGTCATTGGTGAGGCTTAATAAACAAAAAGTGTCTAGTGTACATAATTTTGATACTGGTATCTATGATGAGTTTATTTACAGTATCAATAATGAATGCTTTTCTAAAAATTGCTTTAATATTTCTTACTGTGATTCATTTTCAAGGTTGTTTATGATTTTTATAACAATAATGCACTTACCTTTTTATAAGTATTGTACACATTTTAATCTTTGCTGCAGTACTGTAATGAATTTTAAAATATAAAGTTCACAATTGATCAGCAAAAGATTATTTCTTTAATAATTGTAACTCTCTGTTTTTTAGTTTTTTAATAATTTGTTTCTTTTTTTAAAATTTGGTCTTAAAATCACTGCATGATAAAAAGAAGATTGTTATTTGTTTCTACATAATTTTAACCTGTATAAATTAGATTCGTGCTCATATATATTTTAATCAAAATCCCCAAAATGGCAGCGTTTAGAAGAATTTGTTGTATTATGAATATAAAATTTGTTTTGTAATCCCCATAGCAATTAATTATATCATCTTAAAAGGTGCTCTTCTTTGTTCTGTCTTTGACTCTGTCTATTTGTTACATAAACATTGTTAACAGGGTTAATGGAATTACTTATTCATTTTCTATTGCCTGTCTTTTATTTTATTACATTAGTGTTTTATAGACCTGTTTCTTACCATATATAACATATTTGCAATAAGGGTCTCATAATTTTGAAATTCACTTGTAGCATACAATTTTCAAAAAGAAAATGAGAAGTTGTTCTTATGGTTTTCATAAAGTTTTGTCTCTTGTACACCATGTCTTTTTTGTGACAAGTCATTATTTGTAAAATAGTTTATTGTGAATTACATATGAACAATAAGATGGAAGAACTCAATAAGAAGTATGTGTTATTCATCACTTTAAAATCTTCTTTAAGTTGATATAAAAATATTTTTATGACTTAAAATTTTGTATATATTGGGATATAAAGCTGTTAAATATACTGATTTGTTATACATGTGATATACATGAAAATGCCATTATTTATTAATATCATATTATGCTGATGATATAAAAAGTTTGAGATTAAATGAGGAAAACATTTCGTTTGTGTTATTTACATTACTTATATTAAGAAGAATCTATGTTTTTGTGACAGTATAATTCTATATTGAATGATTGATTGTTGGTTGCTTAACGTCCAGTTGCAATTATTTCATGCATGTTCAGGACGAGATCAAATTAACAATAAATACAAAAGGTAGGTCCTGTAAAAAAGGCTGTTCTGGGATGACCGTCGGAAAAATATTGAATGCCACTGGAAACTGAGGGTTTATTGGATAGGGACAGAAATGTTGTCTTACAACAGGCCACGTACAGATCATTCAAAGATTCTTTGCAAGGATTCTTAATGTGCAGGGGCATGGCACTCTCTTTACATGAGTTATTGTATTTAACGTCTCCATTCTGGCTGGACATGGCAGCATATTTGTACATCCCGCAAAATCAAACGGACGCTCTGATTTGTCGAGGGTTTTACTGCCGGTCGGAAGAAGACCAAGGGTGACCATATTTCTGTTCCCATTCATGCTTAGGGGTCTTTCTATATTATTGACAGTCATAACTATGTGACCCACACAGCTGTCTGCATTTCACCAGATCTTAATCAAATAATAGTGTTTCAGTGAAGCTATCATAAATTTCAGTATCAAATTTCTATGTGTACCTTATTGAGCTATCTGATCTGTATGCCAGGTTACCACTGAATTCATGTCATATCTTTCCAAACCCTTTATATATGGAACTTTTAGAAATATGAACCTATTCCACAAACAGGTACGGATCAGATGCAATTATTGATTCTGATTTGATCAGTTTCAAATTTCATCTCGCATCATGCAAAACAAACTACAAAAAACAACTTTAAAGGAATAATCATCAACATGGCACATGTTATTTTTTTGCGCTGCTCTGCAATCTTGAAAAGGTCGATCGTCATTAATGAGTACACGTATATCACAAATAAGTGCTTCTGGTTTACATTCAGTTGTTTTGGGAATCACCATAGTCTATTTAAAAAAAAAAAAATGGTCCAATATGAAAAATTGGCAGAAAAGTTTCATTCAAAAAATTTTACATTCTGTTGTGGTCAGATGAAAGGAATTACTGACCAAAACAATTTCCTTTTTGAATTCCTTCCTAGAAACTATGACTTAAATGGTCTTCCAAAGTTTGTTATTAGGTGAAGATTGAGTAGCATACAAGGCCATCAAGACAATACCAAGTAATTGAAGTTTAACTTTTGAGTCTCATCTTTATCTATTTAAGATTGATCCAAATAGATAAGAAGTAGGGACAATGAGGCCCTTATATGGACCAAACATTATTGTAAATTAACTAGTTACCAATCATGTTCAATAGTTTGTCAAAACTACACTCATGTACAATATGCTAAAAATATAAAATTTTTGTCATCTCCATTGCAATTAATTATATCATCTTAAAAGGTGCTCTTCTTTGTTCTGTCTTTGACTCTGTCTATTTGTTACATAAACATTGTAAACAGGGTTAGTCGAACTACTTTTTCATTTTCTATTGCCTGTCTCTTATTTTATTACATTAGTATTTTACAGACCTGTTTCTTACCATATACATATTTGCAATAAGGGTCTCATAATTTTGAAATTCACTTGTAGCATCCAATTTTCAGAAAGAAAATGAGAAGTTATTCTTATGGTTCTCATAAAGTTTTGTCTCTTGTACACCATGTCTTTTTTGTGACAAGTCATTATTTGTAAAATAGTTTATTGTGAATTACCAAGTTCATATGAACAATAAGATGGAAGAACTCAATAAGTAGTATGTGTTATTCAGCTCTTTAAAATCTTCTTTAAGTTGATATAAAAATATTTTTATGACTTAAAATGTTGTATATATTGAGATATAAAGTTGTTAAATATACTGTTATGTTATATACACGAAAATGCCATTATTTATTAATATCATATAATGTTGATGATATAAAAAGTTTGAGATTAAATGAGGAAAACGTTTCGTTTGTGTTATTTAAATTACCTATATTAAGAAGAATCTTTGTTTTTGTGACAGTATAATTCGGTCTATATTGAATGATTAATTGATTGTTGGTTGCTTAACGTCCAGTTGCAATTATTTCATGCATATTCAGGACGAGATCAAATTAACAATAAATACAAAAGGTAGGTCCTGTAAAAAAGGCTGTCTGGGATGACGGTCGGAAAAATTTTGAATGCCACTGGAAAATGAGGGTTTATTGGATAGGGACAGAAATGTTGTCTTACAACAGGCCACATACAGATCATTCAAAGATTCTTTGCAAGGATTCTTAATGTGCAGGGGCATGACACTATCTTCACATGATGCATTGTATTTAACGTCTCCATTCTGGCTGGACATGGCAGCGTACTTGTACATCCCGCAAAACCAAACGGACGCCCCGATTTGTCGAGGGTTTTACTGCCTGTCGGAAGAAGACCAATAGTGACCATATTTCTGTTCCCCATTCATGCTTTGGGGTCTTTCTATATTATTGACAGTCATAACTATGTGACCCACACAGCTGTCTGCATTTCACCAGATCTTAATCAAATAATAGTGTTTCAGTGAAGCTATCATAAATTTCAGTTTCAAATTTCTATGTGTAACTTATTGAGCTATCTGATCTGTATGCCAGGTTACCACTGAATTCATGTCATATCTTTCCAAACCGTTATATATGGAATTTTAAGAAATAAAAACCTATTCCGAAAACGGGTACAGATCAGATGCAATTTTTGATTCTGATTTGATCAGTTTCAAATTTCATCTCACATCATGCACAACAAACTATACAAAAAACAATTTTAAAGGAATAATCATCAAGATGGCAAATGTTATTTTTTTGTGCTGCTCTGCAATCTTGAAAAGGTCAATCGTCGTTAATGAGTACACGTATATATCACAAATAAGTGCCTTTTTGGTTTACTTTCAATTGTTTTGGGAATCGCCATAGTCTATTTTCAAAAAACTAAATGGTCCAATATGACAAATTAACAGAAAAGTTTCATTAAAAAAATTCCACATTCTGTTATGGTCAAATGAAATGAATTACTGGCCAAAACAATTTCCTTCTTGAATTCCTTCTTAGAAACTATGACTTAAATTGTCAGCCAAAGTTTGTTATTAGGTGAAGATTGAGCGGCATACAAGGCCATCAAGACAAGATCAAGTAATTGAAATTAAACTTTTGAGTCTCATCTTTTTCTATTTAAGATTGATCCAAATATATAAGAAGTAGGGACAATGGGGCCCTTATATAGACCAAATATTAGTGCAAATTAACTAGTTACCAAGCATGTTCAATAGTTTGTCAAAACTACACTCATGTACAATATGCTGAGAATATAAAATCATTTCACATTAAACCATTGCAGCAATAACGACCTTATTTGGTCAAAATATTAGCACAGGTTAAAAAGTTACCATGTTAAATATGTCCTAACAGTTCTAAGGTACAAGGTGTTTAGAAAATAAAAACAAATTTCACAAATTACAAATTACTTAGCAGCAAACCCTGATGGAATTTGTATATTTTGTAAAATTTCTTGATCTTTCTCGTAGCATATTTTGGAATAGAAAAGTAAGTGCGTACCAAGAAGCAACTTGATATTTAGAGAAATTATGTAAAAGGCTATAATAAAGCTCTTCTAAAATTATTTTGTTGTTTCTTGGCTGCGCATGATGGTTTCATAAGAAATAATGGTTGGAAAACAGAATAAATTCAAAACGATTTTTAGTTTTTATGAAATAGGTGCATATAATGACATAATTGTGACATGATAACCACAAATATTTGTGCATTTCATTTACATTTCTTGATCTTGTTGATTTACAAACAAAACAAATGTAACTGTGAAATTGTCCTCGAATACTTAATTTTTTGGGCCAAAAACGGGTCGTAATGCGTCTTCTCCTTTGTAAATGTTGGTAACATCTCTTGATGTTTTCCTTGTATTTTTCTTCAATTTTTTAGAATATTCAGAGTGATAACGTACGTGCTCATCCGGCAAACAACTTTTTTTTTTATGAGATTATGTAAAAAGCTATCATAAAGGTTTTCTACAATTATTTTAATAATTTTTTTTGTTCTGGGCACGATGTTTCAGTAAAGAAAATATGGACGGAAAACTCTATAAACTCTGCTGTTTTCGTGAAAAAGGTGTAAGTACACTATAACATGTATAACTTAAACAATCTTTTTTAGATACGAAAAATCATCAACTTTTAGATGATTGCTTTACGGCGCATGCCTGTGTGAGGTTGCTTTAAAGTTAATTATATTTATTTATTTAATTATTACATTTACAAATTTAATTTGACTTTCAATTTTTACAATTTTTTTAATTTTTTGGTATATTTTTAGTTTAGGTGAGAGAGAATGTTTTGAGGAGGACTGCATGAGTGAGTGCATTTTTAAAGTTTTTTGTGGAATTTTGGTTTGAGATCTTTGGTTGTAATTTATTCCAATCGTCGATTGTTTGGCTGACGAATGAGAATTTAAAACTGTCTTTGTTGCATTGAAGTTGTCTGTATGCACTGGTATGTTTGTTGATAGGTTGATGTTGTTTTAGACTGGCTTTTATGAGTAGAAATTTCAATGTTTCTGACTTAAGTCAATATTCTAATTTTGGTCTGACTACTGTTCTGGTAAGGTCTTTTCTTTTATAATTTTGAATTATTTTTTTAATTTCTCTTCATAAATGATAAGGATTGATTTGCTTTTTCTGCTGATTGTTGCATATATGTTTGTTCCATTAGAGATCTGAAGAAAGTGTAATGCCTATATTGTTTCCTGATTTGATTTGTTCTAGGATATGACCATGCATGTTGTAATAGAAATGTATTTGTTTTTCTTTTTGAGACTGAGGCTGTTACATTTGTCCGGGTGGAATGAAATGATCAAGTCTTTCTCCCATTTTATAGCTGCTTCGATGTCTTCTTTAATATTTATGAATTTGTGCTTTTTTATACATAATGAACATAATTCTCAATTTTATTTATAATATCAATTTTTCATTTTTTGCGAAGTTTCCCTTTAAAGCAATCATTTTGGCAGACAATAGGCCGGTAAATGATGCTGTCGTCTGCAAAAAGTCTTATTTGCCTGTGTTTTGGGTAGTCCGGTAGGTCGCTAATGTAAATAAGAAAGAGTATGGGTCCTGATTCATTCGTTGTCCCGAAGAACGCCTGATGTTACTGTAATATTTTCAGGACTGTTTGAGTTCTGAGTTGACTGCGTTGCTTGGTATTTATAAATCCCGCCATTGTGTTATTGTGCTATGGTCATTTCTTGTATTCTTGTCTTTCACATGTTTCATTTTTGCTTATGTGCTTTGTCTATAGAGTGTTTATACGCCATTTTGTTTTTCTTTGTTGACATAGTTGTTAGTTTTTATAGTGATCAAGATTGTCTGCTGTAACCCAATGTTTGACATTTTTACCTATTATATCAGTTTGTTTTGCTCACACATTAATGTCAATAAAATGGAATTCTATGCGACTGTCATACAAGGGAGAGGTTTAGCTAGCTATAAAACCAGGTTTAATCCACCCTTTTCTACATAAGGAAATGCCTATACCAAGTCAGGAATATGACAGTTGTTTTCCATTCGTTTGATGTGTTTGAGGTTTTGATTTTGCCATTGAAATTCGGTATTTTTGTTATTTTACTTTTTTTGAGAGAAATGATTCCATCCAATAATTTGTAAAGTAAGTGTTTGTGTGGCCCTTTATCGAAAGCTTTGACAAAATCCACGATTACAAGATCAGTATGCATGTTTTATCATTGTTTAGAGCTAGTTGGTACACAAAAGATATAACCTGTGGTACGCTTGATAGTTCATCCCTGAATCCGTGCTGTAGTTCATATAGTATTTTATTTGTCTCAAGGCGTTTCATCATGTTGCTAAATAGTATTATGTGGAAATGATTAACATGAGATGCAAGGGAGTTTTATTGTTCTTCATCTCAAAGGCACAGTGAGGTCTTCAACACGGAACAAAAAAAAAAAACAAAAACAAAAAAAAACACACACCTTACTGAAAGTTTTAAGACGGCCCCTACCACCGGTTGTATGTAAATGTTTTTAGATTATTTACTATTTTAAGAGCTTGCCTATTTTGTCTCTGTGAGAGAAACATGTACAGGGGAAATTATAGTTCTACCTCTTTTTCGAATTACATCAACATCGATTAGTTTAGTTAAAAATATGTTTAGGATAATGTTTAAAAAAACATCATCTAAAAAAGTATGGCTCGGGTCCAGAGCCTGTGTCGCTGACCTGACTCTACTTTGGTTTTAGAAATCAGGTAAAGATAGATAAAAATCATAACAGATACCCAAATAATGATTGAGGCCAAATTTGGATTAATATTGGTCCCGTTATTTAATAAAATATCCTGGCCATCTTGAACAGTAAATCGGCAACAAAGTAGCAACACTTGGTCAGCACCTCATAAGGAACATTCATGCCATATTTGGTTTCATTCCATTCAGTGGTACTCGTGTACTCTAAAAGAAGACATTTATATGTATTTCCCATAGGGTCCTATGTTAAACTAAGTCCCCCGCTGTCGGCCATCTTGGATGATGGACCGACTGCAAAGTTACAACACTTGGTCAACACCTTATAAGGAACATTCACGCCATGTTTGGTTTCATTCCATTCAGTGGTTCTCTGACAGAAGACATTTTTATGTATTTCCCATAGGGTCCTATGTTAAACTAAGTCCCCCGCTGGCGGCCATCTTGGATGATGGATAGGCTACAAAGTAACAACACCTGGTCAGCATCTCATAAGGAACATTCATGCCATGTTTGGTTTCATTCCATTCAGTGGTTCTCTAAAAGAAGTCATTTGTATGTATTTCCCATAGGGTCCTATGTTAAACTAAGTCCCCCGCTGGCGGCCATCTTGGATGATGGACCGACTGCAAAGTAACAACATTTGGGCAGCATCTCATAAGGA